AATCTGAACATCATCCATGTTGTATGTTCTAGAAAGATTTTGTACACGATGAAAGAACTGCAGCTGTTACAAACCTCTTTAAGAATGCCGACATAGAATGCCAGGCATGATGGTGCATTCATGTAATCTCTACACTTACAAGGCTGAGACAGGAGGATGGTTTGAGATCAAGAGTTGGCTGTGCAACATAGTAAGATAAATGACTACCTGACTCTTAATAAAAATAATAAAATACCCACGTAGAAATTGGAACATCCCCCACATGATGTCATATACTTGTCTTCATTCTTCATTAAGGATAAATGTGATGAGATATACTGCACAGTGAACTCATGCCTATTAGCAAAAGGGCTGACTGATTTGGCACACTTATAGGTTGTTCTCTGTATAACAAATTGAAGCCAATCTCTAAACAGTGACACAATGTTTAGAGATTAAAAAGAGCCTAGATGTGATAGTTCATGAAAGAATCACCCTCAAATGCTGTTTTATCTGAGCTGAGAATTTTTCTGTCCTTCTCCTCCCCTTTTCTTCCTCCTTTCTCTCTCTCTCTCTCTCTCTCTCTCTCTCTCTCTCTCTCTCTCTCTCTCTCTCTCTCTCTCTCATTCTGAGTTAAAAAGCATTCCAGGATTAGAAGATATCCTGTCAAGCGAATTATTTTATGTGTATACTATATATTTATATATATTTATATATGCAGTACATAATGATTACATTCATTGTGAGGAGTTAGTACATGTACGTAACATACCTTAATTCGTTTTTATGCCTTTCCTCTCTTCTCCCATCCTCTTCCTTCCTCCTCCCTTCATCCCTTGATTTCCTTCCATTTTGCAAAATTCTATCTCCTTATTTTCTATTATTGATCTTTTATTTTGCTCTTTATTTATACTTTGGGTTTCTCATATATGAGAAACCATGCGATATTTAAGCTTGTGTGCCTGATTTACTTCACTTAACACTGTAGTCCCACAGTGCATTTATTTTCCTACAAATGACTTAAATTTATCTTTCTTTGAGGTACAGTAGTACTAAATTGTGTATAAATACCAGATTTTCTTTGTCCACTCATCTTTGATGGACATTAGACCACTTCCAAGACATAGCTATTATGAGTTGTGCTGTTATAAACATGGGTATGCATGTGCTACTGTAATATGATGTCTTTAACTGTACTATAGCATTTAGCATCCTTGATCATTAAAGGAAAAGTCATACCTGTGGGGACAGAAAAAGCTAGCATGCACCCAGGTGTTTTTATTCCAGGATAGCTAAATGAATGCATCAAGCAAAATAAGGTTCCCACATTTTGTGCATAGAACAATGAAAGGTATGACAAGTTGTCATTGTAACTATGACCATGAATTTGGGGAATGGTGGTCTACTCTAGTTACAGTTTACCAACTATTTTTGTAATTGGAAATAATCATGTTAATGGCACTGCCATATCTCTGTATAGGTTTTGGTATGGGCAAGAGAATACTGCTGTAACTAATATCTAAAATATGCAGGTTGCTTTGAATAGAGTCTGAAAGAATTTTGAAAAGCATAATAGAAAATGTGTAGGTTGTCTTGAAGAAATATGAATATCTGTAGAAATACAAATGCTCTATAAGATGCTTCCTGTTGTTGTTTGGACCTTGCAAGTCCCCCAAAGCCTCATTGTAGCAGTTGATTGGATTAAGGGCTGCTATGGCTGGTTTGCTGTTAGGAATTGTGCCCTGGTTGGAGGCGGGTCACTGGGGGATGAGCTGGAAGCATACCTCTCCCTCCCTGGTTCCTGCCTTCTCTTGATGCTTCCTGGAGTCCATACCCTGAGTAGCCTTCCTCTGCCAGACCCTTCCACCATCTCCTTCCTGCCCTGGAGCAAGCCAGCCATGAGCTAAACTATGAACCAAAGTAAACCTCTCTTTTAAGTTGCACATGTTTGGTATTTTGTCTCAGTGATGAGAAAATTACTGGGATACTTCCAAAGAGGACAAACTTCAATTGCCATTAATCCCCCTCAAAAATCTTTCCCTCACGTTGAATCATTTATCTCATCATTCTTGACACTTTCTGAAGCAGTTCTGGAAGTCGTCTTTTGTTGTGCTGTCATGGATGCCTTGATGTTCTGAATTGATTTGACATGTTTATTTTCAGGGTCATTTTGACTTTAGGGGAGAGCCAGAAGTTGCATGATGCCAGATCCGATGAAAAAGCTAGATGAAGACACACCTTAATATTTTTAGCAGTAGCGTTCACTGTATTTTTTATTATACCTCTTAACAACATTAATGAAAGGGGACTTCCAAGACCGCTTCAGAAAGTTGCCAGCATGATAAGTTTGTCAAAGAGAGGGGGAGCATTTTGAGGAGGGATTAATGGCAGTATGTCTTTTACTGTAATATATTTTTTATAATTAATTTTCACTGTATATTTTGGTTACACCAGATACATTCAGATAGTCATGACAATGTGAGACCAGGTGCTAGGCCACAGAAGAGGCTTTCAAACTGTGGCAGGAGTCTGATTCAGGAGATTCCTAGACCTGTCCTAAAACCACAGAAATACACAAAACACCATGGGTGATTCAGGTCCTACAAAAGCCTTGTAGGACCACCACTCCGGTGCAGTGTTAATACTTACTCTGTGAAAATATACATTTGTAACCAAATAAGTTTGTTGATCTCAGGGTTTCTCATTAAGCAGAGCACCTTATGATGGGCCTTTTAGAACACAATGTACCAAAGCACTGCATATGCCGGTGGTTCCCAAAGCCTGCCTCTCCAGTATAACCTGGAAACTTGTTAGAAGTGGAGTCTTTGGCATATCCCAGACCTACTCATTCTGAGGCTTATAAATCTTCCAGGTGATCCTTATGTGTGCAAGAGGCTGAGAGTCAACACTGTCTGCAGTGTTTTCCAAAAATACGTGACTACAAAATCTTGTTTTCTTTCATTAAAGATGTGGCAGGACTCATATTTTTTGCTATGAGGAATGCTACTGAAATGTGCACGTGTGTGCAGTGAAGATATTTGAAAGTGGTATCATTACTTGCAGAGAGGTTTCTTTGAGAACTATTTATTTACATATTGATTTATTTAAACACATTGTTCTGCTAAAAAAAAAAAAAAACTTGAGGCAGCTAAGAATGCTAGGAGTAAACTATTTAACCTGGAAGTTTTGATCCTTTCCTATTTATGTCAGGTTTCCTGATGTCTTAGTTACTTTTCTCACTGCTGAGACAAAATACATGACTCCCAAAGTTAAGGGAAGAAAAGTTTATTTGGCTCATAGTTTGTAGAGGTTTCAGTCCATAGTCACCTGGGTCCAAGGCAGGTTGACATGGCAGAGGGGCATCGCAGAGGAGAAATAGTTTATAGCAGGCAGAAGGTAGCAAAGCAAGGGACTTCAGGCAGCTTCTTTCTGCCCCTTTTATACTCTAGCTAGGCTACTGGGATTAGGGTGGTGCCAAATGAATCAGTGGACTGATTTAATAATCACCTACCCTTAATCCTAGCACCCTTAATCCTAGCATTGCACCATGAATCAATCACACTCTAGATTCAGCCACCTCTGAAAAAGCCCCACCTATGAGTGCATGAGGCTTTGGAGGGACATCTAGACACAAGCCATAACACCCAAGTAAACAAAGTGCTGATTTTTAAAATCATGATCCAACCTACAGTAGCCCTGAATAATGAATAAACAAGGCCAGCAACAGAGTGGTCAATAATCAAACCTTAAATTTCTTGGGGAAGAGGGAGACAATACACTGTTTCTCTTTACTGATTGAAAATTAGTATGACTTATAAAGGGAGGAGATTGAGTGAGATTTACAAGTGTTTAAAGTAACTTAAAACTTTTTAAAAGGTTCCTAAATCCAAGATGGGCATGCAGCCTCGCCTTATGCTGTAGAGCTCAGGCAGGATTGACGGTGGGCCTGAAGATGAAATCACAAGGTGACTGAGCGAAGCTGGGCTGGGTTCAGAGAATGTGATGAATCTGGCCGAAACATCTTCGGAACATGCAGCCTCCTATCCTTGTGAAAGCAGGCTGCTTGGACCATGGTAACTATTTTGCATATACTCTGAACAGCATCAATTATGATTTGTCATTCTACCCTTCCCTTCAGATATTGACTACTTCCCAGGCATTCACTATCAGGCAATGGCAGCTTTGGGGAGACAGAAAACATCGACACTACAGAATGTATACATTTTTCTTCAGCTCTGAAAGGTGGAAAGAATTTTAGACATTTGGTCCTATGTATCCCATCTACAAAGGAATGGAATGAGTAACAAAGAGGGAAAACGACATTTTGAGTGGCAGAGAGAATACTAGGGCTTAGATATCATTTGTACAATTTGATCACTGAATGGGAATGAGAATCCCTCAGTACCAATCTGAAGCTTTGATCAAATAAACACTTTAAGAAGTGTTCATGTTAATGTGAGTATCTAGACTGAAGATTATCTGAGGGCAGTGCCTAATATACATAATTCAGTGCTTAACCACAGCTTCTAATATAGTTAGTGGCATATAATAAGATACTCAATAAAATGCACATTGAAGGATTTTTTCTTTGAATGAATATAAAGAGTTTATTCGGTGCGTATTTGGGCATACAACAACAAATATTAAACAACTTTTTTTTTAAAGTTTTGTGCACAGGACAGAATACTGCCTGCACATGCTATGTTTACTTTTGGAACACAGATTTTAACAATTACTAATGCACAAAATCTTACATATCATGCAACTGTATGCCAAGATTCCAACTTTTTTCCATGCAACAGATATGAAGATCTAAATGGAAACCTAGCTAAGTCTTAAACACTTTTCCAGTAGCAAGTATAATATATGTTGTTTAGGGGTAACCAGTCTTAACATTTCCTTGTACACAATATTCACGTGCCAAATACAATGACAAGAGGACTCATACATATACAGATACCACGTTTCTTATTTTAACAACACAAAGGACAACTTCACAGTTCCACAGTTTCTGTCTTTTTACACAAGAAGCCACAACCAAAGTTTAACACAAATGGAATTAAGAGAAATCTACACTTGAAGATAATCTTTTTTTAAGTTATCTTTACTAACTGGGATTGACAATACAACTCAATTTCTACACACAAATACAGCACAAGAACTCGACCAGGATACTACAAATCTAAAACAACTGGTAAAATCACAAGAACACTGTTACTTTGAGCCTGAGATGCCAATTCAGATTCAACCTTGAATTTGGTTGATTTGGATTAAGGGACACAAAGTCAATAAGCATTACACTTCAGAAATCAGAAGTTGCACTATACGAAAGCAAAGAGTACATGTGAATCAAGCGTAGATAGAAAACATTAAGCCAAGAAAACAACACGGTTCACGTAATTGTGTTTGCCCCTACAAAACATTTAAGCAGCTAATTTCGTTTAGTTTACTTTAGTTTAGTTGTGTAGTTTTTTTGTTTGTTTTTAAAGAACAATTACGGTCTTTGAAATTGTCTTGGTTGGAGAGCAAATTTTGATCAGAATTAGTGCTGTGAACTACTTTTTGGTTAATCATCCCCAAAATACAGGTGAGATCGTGAGAAAATCTGACAGTCCTTCTCCCAGATTTAGTTCATTGATAATGCTTGGCATTCTTTTGCACAAGCTTGATGGAAATGATGGGGTTTAGTATGGATGGGAATAAATTCTGTTGGCAGATCAGAGAGTGAATTCTGCCTGTTTTGTTTGATACACCTCACTGACAAATTTGACCGTTTGGATGAAGGACTGCTCAAGAATTCAACAGTACCTGGAGGCAAGGTTCTGTTATTGAGCCCTTGTTTGCCCTCACTGACTACGTTGATTCATTGTGGCTCATGGATTTGCCCCCGTTCAGCACGCCAGAGACACTTCTGCTCTTGGTCGGGGTCCCACTTCCAGATCGGGAGAACTCCGTGAGATCGTGCAGTGACGGCTCCTTGTACATGGCCACTGTAAAGCAAATGCAGACAGTATGAAGGCTTTCCAATGGGCTGAGAATTGCTAAAAGAATTGATTTCAAGTGCTCTCACCACAAAAATAGTAATAGTAATAGTAATAGTTAATTATTTCAATTTAGCTGTCCCTCATTATATACACATTATATAATATCTTGTACATGAAAAATGAATGCAATTTTTATTTGTTAATAAAAATTTAACTAAAACAAGAAAGAAATTAAGAAAAAATTAAAAAAAAAATCTGGGCACATCACACTGGTCCTCCACTTTTCTTCTGGTTTCTAGGCTTCTATGCCTCAAGCCAAACACAAAAAGTACTGCTTTCAAGTACTCAGTAGAGAGTGGCTGAGATCAAATTAAGCAAAATATAGCCTTGGTAAAGTAGTGTATGAAGAATTTTAATGCCTAACTTCTATCTCTTATAGTTAGATATGAGAGGATTAATGAAAAATGCATTTAATAAAGCTCTTAGAAGTTTCAATATGATCTACAGCATACTGTGTGAGACAAATATTGAAACTTAAAACATTTTAAAACCCTGATTTTTATCATACTTTAAAATGAAACTCTCCAAGAGTCTAAATATTGGCATAATTCCTCAATAAATAGTAATAATTATTATTGCCAGACTGTAAATAATAGTACTATCTTATACTCATGAAGCACTAATAATGCAGTAGATAATGTTCTAAATTCTCCATTTGTATTACCTTATTTAATCCAGGTAAGAATATGATGATGTAAATAATCATATCCATATTTTATAGATGAACTTCAGGCACACACTAGTGAATAATGTTTTCAAGACTATTTAGTTAATAAAAGATGAAGCTGGAACTCAAACTCAGACAGTCTGTCTCCAGAAACTGAGTCGGAAAACACAGGGCTATGTTGATTGTGATGGCTGGAGGGATTCTGGCCCTAATTGAAACTCCTACTCTAACCATGAGCTGGCTAACCTTTGTGAAGGCTTCCTCTATTTTGCCTGAATTTTCTTTTCTTTCACAGTACTTCAAATATGCCCATCTTGCAGAATTTGTTCCTGTCTTTCACATTTCTAATTTGCTTTTCATCTAGTAGTAATAACTAGTAGTCAAAATTCTTGGGACTCTATTGTTGGGATCTTAGAATGGGCCTAAGGGGCTTTCCAATAGAGAGTCAAGTGTGTACACATTTTAACATCCACGTTTCCTCCCATATACTATTTTTGCATAATTTGAGGTTCTTACCTGTTTGAGTTAACAATTTAGCTACTTCCACTTTAGTAAGGTGTTGCTGTTATGCAGATGAACAATGAAAAAATTCAAATCAGGAGAATAAATGCTCTTGTCGATGGCTTCATATTTTTATGATTTTTATTACCTGAGTGTAATCTATGTATTCTTTTTGAGAATTGTAAATTTTTGTTCAATTGTGGAAGAATTATTCTTCATTTTCAAAAGTGTGATAAAGGATTGATTTAAATTAGTTTTTTTGTACAATCACCCACAATACCAACAATAACAGTTTTTACCTTTCAGTGGTTTGGGCAGAAAATGGGCTGCAGGCTTGTTTTTCTTCACATGGTTGCCTTTCATGATCTCTCCTTCTTTGTTCAGACCCAGATACCACCCTCGGCCTGACTGCTGCTGACGATATATCATTGATGAATATGTCACATAATAATTTTCAAACACTGATTCTTTGAATTTGCACTCAGGTGTGAAATGTTCCTGTAACAAGAGTAAATAAACAAAAGCTCAATGTTTATAGCTATAAAGTTCATGTAGAACAACTGGAAATGCCTTTCAGGAATTTAGGATATTTTTTGTTAAGGCTTGTATGATTGGTACTCTATTCTAACAGAATTAACTATTATCACTGTAAACCAGTAGACTATATAAAACATTTCACATGGTGCTTTAGGAATAGTATTAAGTACTACTTGATCAGTGATTACCACTCTTTGTAATGGTAATGGGAAAATTAGAATTAGCCACATAAATATAATTTATTGGACAAATATGAGAGCCAAAGACTGAAGAGACAAGCATAAAGCTCTCATATGGATCTCGGTTCCTTTCAAGAATAAATAAGAAAATAAACATTCAGTCTTTGTAATTATTTTTTGTGGATTCTTAAGATAATATACAGCATGAATATCAGTTGCCTGAGGCTAAGACCTGCGTTACAATGCTGGCTGACCATATTTTCAAAAGGATGGTACAAAGGGACTACTTTCTACTTTAAGGTAAACCAAATTGATTTTTTTTTAGATCACTGGACCTTGACTTAAAAAAAGAGAAATAATCCCTCTCATCCGCTCCTTGCCTTATAGTGACATTTATAAGCAAATCAATATAAAGCAAGGAATTTACAGTAATTCTACAAGTAGACACGAGAGAACAGCCTAGGGGACTTTAAACTCTGGAATATGATTTTCTGACATGCACTTAGGCATGTTTACTTTGGATTGGTCCATACAAATGAAGGGCTCCTAACCCAACATTGACTGTTTTAGGAAAATTTTAAAAGCCTTATTTTTAGTTTGTGTGCATGCACATACATGAGTGCGTGTGTGTGCACTTGTGTGAATGTGTGTAGGCAATAACAGTCATTAAAAATGACCATTTCTAAGCCAAATGAAATGAGCAGATATTTATATGTAATCCGCAGAGTAGCAGAAGAGTCCACTTTGAGTGGAAGAGAATGAGGAAAATGTTAACTGAACTATATGTGACAAAAATACCAATGAAGCTATAAGGGTTTGATAATTTGCTTAGATGTTATCAAGAATGATTGTTGATAATATCTTTTGAGTTCTTTTAAACCAGTATTGGAAACCACCAGTCTTTTATAAAGAGTGTCTCCTTGGTCTTATCTTCCTTTATTTTAACAGTGGACATCTTGCTAAGCAATGCATACTAGCTGAACAACAACATCTGAAGTACTCTAAGTCACTTATACAAAGAGGGTTACATTCCTCAGCATTTCTCTAGAAGTTAATTCAATTTTCTTCTTTGCTTAGACTCTAAAAACTCTATTTTACTCAGTGATCTGACTGATTCCCCAATTTGGCCTCAAGGGTGCATGGGCTGGAGTTTCTTCAGGGTTTTTTTCAGACTAGGTACACACTGTACAGATTCTCAGAGGATTCCACAAATTCAACCTACTCAAGAAGAAATGTACTTCTAGGGCAACTGTCACATGGTTAGAACTAAAGAGTTCTATTTATGGGCTGTGAAAATTCTTCTTTATAGGATTTCTCGACATAGGAAAAGCCAAGGTATGCTTACAAAGAAATATGACTAAGAGTCTCCACATTTCCTCTAGTGATGAGGACAACTGCATAGAATTTTGCTGAAGTTCTTCGGGAATAAAATCATCATTTGGAAAAAATTCATCTTTATACAGTAGATTTTACATGCATAAAGTGTCAGAAAGCATTGCAAAATAAATCTGGTGAATAATACATATGACCAAGGCTGGTGATAACATTTAGCCACATGACCAATGTATGGCTAACCTCAGAACAATTAGATGGGATCACAGTGTTTGTTGAGGCAGGTCCCGCAAAAGTACTGCATTTACTGTCTGGTGTGATAGCAGCATTCATTCATTTTATACACATTTTCTGTTAGTCCATTATGTGCTTGGATGGTGTTAAAAATTCATAGATTTATAATATGTGCACTCAGACAGCTTACTGCATACTTGCAGGAGCCAGGCAAGTATCCAGATAGCCTGGACACAAGGTATGCTACTATGAACGCAGGAAGGGAAGCATAAAAGAGGTATCATATGGGAAGAGAGGAAGTCTGACTCATTTCTGATTGGGGGCCTAGGAATACCTTCAAAGAGAGTGTGTCATTTCAGATGAGACTCAGAAGACAGGTAGGAATTCACAAGAGATTAAGGGGAAGAGTAATACCGAGGCACAGAGCCATACTTGCTCTACCCTATTTCCCTACATTCCCTCTCTTAGAAATTGCAGTCTAGCTCCAGAGGATCTTTACATTCATTCATTCATGCATGCATGCATTCATTCATTCACATGCTCTATAGTCCGTGATCCAGGACCTCAACCTTCCATTCTTATCACCACTGCACTAGTTTGTACTTTTATTCCCTCTTTGCTGGTCTCCTGTAAGAACTCCTCCTGGTTGTGCTGGTTAATGTTTACGGTCAACTTAACTGGATTAAGAAACTCCTGAAGAGATGGTTGGATTGTGAGGGCACTAACCTTGTCACTGGGTTAAGCCAATGGCCAATTTGTAGCTGAGTGGGCTATTAGGAGGTGGGACCACTTCCTCTATGGCTTTTCCCCTATTCTTTACTCCATGGCTGCTATGAGTTTAATGGCTTTCCTCCACTGTGGTGTTTCTGCCATAAAGCCAGCAGATAGTGAATGGATTGAAACCTTTAAAACCATGAGTCAAAAATAAACCTCTCTTTCTTTGAGTTGTGTCAGGTATTTTTTTCCCCAAACAGAAAGCTGACCAATACACTTATCTTTTCTCCTCTGCTGGCAGATTTGCCTCCCCAAAGCAAAGCTCCTTTCCTCAAGAACTTTTGAAGGTTTCACCTTGCCTATATAAAAATGACAAACTGGGCCAGAAATTTATTTAGCTCAGTGGTTCTGCCGCCTGCCTCAAAAGTGCAAGGACCCAAGTTCAATCCCCGGTGCCAAAAGCAAAAAGGAGAAACAACTTGATGTGGCGTTTAAAATCTTCCATTACTCAGTTGCTACCATGCCTTCCAGTATCAACTGCCACCACAGAATCATTATGAGCCTTTCCAAATGCCATTTGTTTTCTTTGTTTACAATGTCATTTTACTGGTTTTTCTCTCATCTCTCCAAGCCTAGGTCAAATATGATTATTTATGGAAGCATATGATTTCTCCCAATCAGAATGGATTATATCCATATCTGTGATCCTATAAATTCTATCTACATCACTAGCATGATCCTGTGATACATACACATGCATGATTAGCCCCAGATGGATGGAAACTCATCTTACTTATTTCCACCACCACCCCCATTGAAGGTCATATTGCCTAGCTCATGGAAGAATACTTGATTATTAGATCACTTGATTGGTAGTGACAGAATTTGAATTTAAGAGATTCATATTTAAATATTTGAAATTCTAAAACTAAGAAGTATCAACCAATAAAAAGTCTGCAGAGATTTTCCTTAATACCATAGAATAAAATCAGTAGTATATAGAAGGAAGCTGTCACTGCACAAATAGATCCTGCACGGGTGATTTAGTATCTCATGAATGGCATGGCACCTACAACGCTAGGAGGAAAACTTGGCAATCGGTACAACTATTGGAAAATAGCAAGAAAGGACTCAATGAACTTAATACTCTGTCATATCCTGGTAAATTCTTAGTCATCCCCACTAAATTTGGACTCAGGATCTCAGTAGAGAAAAAAAGTTAGGCCAAAAAAAGAATGTTGAAGCAACCAAAGGACTGTTCTGTTCTCTGTGTATGACACTGTCATTTTATCCAGTGTCGGAATGAGTAGGCAGAAGAGACTTGAATTTTATCAAATGTGGAAAAATGTGAGCATCCTCTCCCCAAAAAGAAGGTCCATCAGTGGGGGCAGGGGTTGTAGGTGTCTCTGTGTCTTAGCAGTGACTCATATATACAATAGAATTTGGATTTGGCCCAAGCCTGGAAAGCCCTATTCAGAGAAGAACAGGTGGACATGTTTCAAGGAAACTACCTACTTTGATTGATTTGGAGATGCTCACTGGTGCCCTGGAAGAAAGTACCATAGCGATCTTGATGTATAGCAGGTAATTAATGAAGGCAGCAATCACTAAGCTCTGGATTTGTTTGCTAGGCATTAGATAAATATCAGCTATTAGAATGAGTGAATGAATTAAAAAGATGCCACATAGTTAATGCATAGTTACTAAGAAATTACTCAGCATCAGTATAAAAGGTGTTTTCTATCTTGTAAGCTTTTATACATTGATTTCTATTAAAAGTTGTTTATCTTGCCTGTATACTACTATATTTTATCAGAGAAATAACATCTTTTAAGCTCATTAAATTATTAATCAGTCTCTAATATCTTTCATGTGTATAATTATCTCTATTCTACTCTCCTTTAAGTTCAGGGTTATTTTCTTCCCAGTAAATATTGAAATTTTAATCTACAGAATTTATAACAGCTAGTTATAATGATCATATTTTGGGTAGGGAATAACGAATCTACATTAAGAGAATACATGGATCCAAGAGTAAAATCTCACATTTCTTTTTCTCAGTTTACTCACACTATTAAGGGGGGAGTAATTCTTTGGATGTTGAAATATCACTGACAAGAAGAAAGCACTTGAAAGTCTAATATGTCAATGGAGTGCATCAATAGAACATATTAGAGAACTATTAGACTCACAGATGTTAATAGTCAGCTGCTCCAATCTCCTCAGGGAAGATTAGAGCTCCATACAGACTTTGAGAGGCAAGTTAAGAAGGTATTATTAGCACAATCAGTAAGTTTGATACATGCAAAGAACCCCAAGATCCAATAATGTGCCAGAAATATATTTGCCCAGAATAAAGGGCTGAAGACTAGTGTAAATTGTTCTTCTCTGTTACAGTCAGAAGAAGCAACAGTGCCCTGGGTTAAGGCGGGCACCGAGGGCGAAGTGTGGAGAGAGTGTAATATCTTTGACCTGTTGGAATTGGAGCTAGGTCAAAAGAAG